TGGAACATCCCAGGGTGCCGGGCAAGGGGCACGCTCCTCTCACCTGGGCCCTTCTGGGGGCTTTTGGCTCCACACTGCTCTGGAGAACGAGGATCTAAATCCCTGGGGGAGGTGTGGATTTGCCAGGATGAGCAGGGAGGGTTTGGGGCCCCTGCACTGGAGCTGGGCTCTGCTGTGCCCTGTGGGGTCACACCCTCCCCTCAGACACCCCCACACCCCCTCCTCTGCACAACCAGCCCCTTCTCAGCTTCCATCCCTCCATGGACTGATGCTGCTCCCCCAGCAGTGCTGAGCCCCATCCCAGCACCCTGCATCCTTCCCCCGATCCAGGGGGATTCAGGGCTCAGTGCCCTCCCCTCTGCAGGCAGCACCCAACACCCACAGGACCCCGATGCCAACACCCTGCCCCGGGCAGGGACCCCCCAGAGCAGTGCCAGCTGCTCTCCAGCAGTGCCAGCAGGACACTTGTCCTTGTTTTTAGGTCCCTGGGGCCAGATGCTGACACGGGTGTAAACCCAGGCTGGGCTGATCCCTGGGGGTCTTGGCTCTGCTCTCACAGCTCCCCTGCCCTGAATTCCACCTCCTGGAAGTTTCACTCTCAGTTGCTCTCTGCAACCAAGCACACAGGAGTGGTTTTGCCATTTTTATTAGGGAAAAAAAGGAAAGAAAAAGAAAAAGGAAGGATTACTCTTTGGAAAAGCTATTTCTGTCCCCGTTCTCCCTGTCCTCACATGTATCGCTTCCCTCTTTGATAGCTGTACCTGCATATATAGGGTGTCCGGGTTTAGGGGGATTATTCTCTTCTTTTCTTCCTGATTCTCAGGATTTGGATTTAAGGCCGAGCATTAGAGGGAAAAAAAAAATCCAACTGCAATAAGCATTAAAGCAATAAACCAAAGAAACCTCCTTTGTGTTCAGCCACCAAAACCGACCCTTCCCTGAGACGGGCACGGACGGGCACCGTGTCCTGCTCCCTGGGAATGGGACAGGGATGCTCCCCACAGCCTGGGGACTCAACAGCCACCCTGAGATGCTCCCCCTTTCCACTAATTAAAACCCTGTGCTAATTGAGGCTTGTTTTCTCGGGATAAAAGCCTCTTCTCCAAATCTTCCTGCAGTTGGCTTTGTTGGGTTCGACAGGTTTCAGCCTCAAACCCGGAGCCCCTATGTATATATTTATATATAATGTGTATATAGACTGGTAGACTGTACAGATATATCTAGAGACATATGTACCTCTCGACTGATTTCAACTTAATGGTATTTTCACTCCTACTCTCCCCAGCAGTGAAAATAAAATGATTCACAAGGGACCCAGAGCCGCAGTTGGATCTGCCTCTCTCTGATCCATCCTCATCCTCTCTCATCCTCCATCCTCAGGTGTGGGAGCTGCTGCTTCATTCAGGACCAGACTTCCTCTGTTGGGGCCAATTCCCAACAGTTGGAGCCTGTGAGACCCTGGGGGGGTTAGTGGGCTCTGGGGTTTGGGGTGTGCACTCCTTGAACCAACGATGGTTTAGGTTAGAATTTGGGAAGAAATTCCTCCCTGCGAGGGTGGGCAGGCCCTGGCACAGG